TAGAGCGCTGATCTCATCACGCACCGAGATCCACTGGGCATCTTGGACATCTGGCCTCGCCCGAATGGTGTGATCTGATGGACGGGGCACTAATTCTCAATGGACTGCGAACTCAGGTTTGTTCTGTTGCCTTGTAAGTCTGGCTATTTAGTCAAAAGCGTTGGGCGGATATCCCTAGATTAATCCCTTTTTCGAAAGGGGTATCCCGGAAGTAACATACCGTCGGAATCTTTGAAGTTCCCATTTGTGGCACCAAGGAAATTTTTACAGTCAGTAGTGACCTAACCCATTGACCAGGATTTGCATTTGATTCCCAAAAAATGATAGATCGCCAGACTTTGGTATTCCATTATGAACATTGTATGCTGAGTATGCACGTCCAATAATGTGCACTGTTCTCAAATTCGAACCCGTTTACAGCAATTACTGATCTATTACGGCCGCCACTGGGTAAAAGTATACACGCATAATTATAAGTCCATATCAATTCTATTTGGCAATTTGACATGGTGTTTTAAGATATTGTGAAAGAAATTATGGGATAAAAGACAACCATATGGGAAACGGAGTAGAAATAATCAGACGAAATCAGTGAAAATGCAAATAAAAATAAGCATCTTTGACGTAAAAAATGCGACTGGTTAAGAGCCAAGTCCTATGGGATTGGGTATTCGATTGAATGCTCATTTTGCTCTCCTGTTACTCGTTGTGAGGGAAAATATGGGGAGTCAAAAGTTAATGACCCCTTGTCTTCATATACCTCTTCTCGCTCTTTCTCATCCAAATTTTCCTTGACGTGAGTAACCTTATTTTCTTGTGAAGATCCAGAAAAGGCCGTTAGTAAACCTGCATGTGCAAAGTCTGAAGCCAATTTATTCACCCATTTGTTTCGATTAGATTTTGTATTGGATTCAGTTAGAGCAGTACTACCCTGACGTATGAAACTGCGAATCAGTATCTTTTGCAATCGGAAGGCAAACGGGGTAAGGGGTTGGGACAGATTCCCCAAGAGTAAATGCTCCAAACCAGCCCACAAAGCGGTGGGTCTATGAAACAATAATGTGCGCAATGGTCGGCGAAGAGAGAAAGGAACAAACGAATCTGAGACCAAATGGAGAGTGAGTCGACGAGTAAACAAAGCTCGTGCAAACCGGTACAGTTCAGTATCTAGCTGAATCCGATCCTCCACAGCCTTCAATTCATCGGTATTTAAAGTAGCACGAATCAGTGCTGCGTGCGTTTGACGGTCCGTAGGAAGAGGCACAGATGGGGTTCCGATCAGCAATTGTTGAAACACGACATGTAAAGAACGCTGGAGCATATATTGGGTGTACACAAGATGTTCACTAAATCCAAACGCACAAATCCGGGTCAGAAGTGAATGTTTGGCACTAACTGATAGATCATGTTGAATTTGAGTTAAATTCGGATTAGAACCTTCTGTGGGAATGGACCAATTGACTAGATTTCTGTAACATCCCAGTCGTGGAAGATCGGCTAGCATCCTCGTTTGACGGTTATGAGCCAAATTGTACGGGCAAGCGAGAAACGTGGTTAGCGGCACATGTGCCCAATCCGGATGATCACCATAACGTCGAACAGATCTAGTTCGACCAGTTGAAGTTCCGGGGCGTGGGGAACGAAATTCTGGAAGCATGTAACAGGGATGGTAGACCGTGCCATTCGGGATTGTTTGAGTCTCAGTTTCAGGGGAACGGTTTGTGGGAGAGTAGCTATGACCAGCACAGCGCAAACGGGAAAAGTGCCAGGTGCCGCCACGCCTAACATGGAGCCATTCACTTAAATAACGATCCATGGGATTCCGCAGTATGGTGAAGAATAGGTATCTGCACGAAAATAAATGAAAACATTGGACTAATAACTATGAGTAGTAAATGAGCGCTTTAGAAGAGCCGATATAAGTAAGGACGATTACAATTGTTTCCTAATGATGACTAATTTACTACACTGAAACATTAGCAGTAATCACCGTAATTGTTGACACAAAATCTATAGCTCTCTTATACCGCTGTGAATCTGTGTAAGATCACGTATTTAAATAAGAGTTTTCATTTACACATCTCAGGAGCACCCAAATAGACTGTGCATTCACTTACTTTCTCTTCGTGAAAAGTTCGTCTAGCACATCTAAGGAAGAATCCAAGCATTCACTATACTCCGTTAGATCCGCGTGTAGACCACATATCCAGCCGGTAGAAAATCTGAATGTAATCAATAAAAGAAGAGTGACATACCGGCTGACTAACCATGTATCCCCGTTCGCTGTCCGACATGGACAACGTCGCTTGCCCTTAGAACACGAGCAGCTTTGTCCAACATGTCCAGCTTTCACCAGCGCGTGCTCTAGAAGAGTTCCTCCAGTTTTTTGAATATGTAAAAATACTAGCACCGACTGAACTGACGATGACACACTAGAAGGTGCACTGTGTGTCGCGCGACTATATGGTTGCACGTTTGGAAAAGAATCGTGGAATCTCTGCGGTTTCGTTGGAGTATGATAAAGTCGCAAAGTGTAAAATGCTAGCATACATGCAACGAGAACGAATAAAATCTTGCTGAAAGGTCTAAGTCGCATGTGCGTGTACGACACCACAGCAACGAACCAATTCGGAAGCATTTGAGCACGAGTTCTCAACAAAATTACGAGGAACGGAATAGTCTAAATCATTTTCGTAACGGTTGGAGAATGAAGAAGACCCATTCTGAAAAGCAACATGATAAGCAAGTAAGACAAGGGAACCTAACCGAGAAAAGTTTGCACAAGTTCGGGAAGTATCTAACTTATTTAGAATAAAAGTATTTTCGACTGCACCAGACAAATTATGTCAATGATGTGAAGTTCATTTAATTAACCGAGAAATATATATGGCTACTGGGATTTCATGGTTGAGGACAAAGATGTCATTGGCAGTTTCAAGTTCAACAACCACTAGACATGCATTTCCGTGCGACACTTTTGGTTGCTGTCTTTTGGCTGCTCATTTAGGTGAACAATAGGAGGAAAACAGGAAAGTTAGAAGTAAGATCGAAGAGAAAATTGAAAATTTCAGTGGACTAATGAAACCGAGAAATTGAGATGCACGAACTCCACTGTTTGCGACAACCAGCCATATCACTCAGTGTCTCTAACAATCCGTTACGACCATCCCGAGGTCCCAGCCAGAAGCACAAGTTCATCAAACTACTGTGCAAATTATTGGCATTACCGGTCACAAACTTCCATTGGTGGTGAAGTGTCGCTATTGATTCAGTCAGCGAAAAATTGCTCCATCCCAATTCGATTTCTGGTCGCTGAGAGGATTGATTTCATTCTTGGCCTGAACGCCTTACGGAAGTTGAACGAACCTGTGTCAATGCATTTCCGCAAAGCACCAATTGTTCATGCCCAGTGGCGGAGGCCGACCACGAGTAGTTCAAATAACGTTGGAACTATGTGCACGCAATCCTCCAAATCGGGAGGTATTGGTCGCCGACAGTTACGCACAATATCACATTGTTCCTGCTCACACGATGTAGCGAAGAATGTGGCGAGAACTGTGAAAAGTGCTATTTCATCGGCAAGCCAGAAGACGGTGTCA